AACAAAAAAACACAATTCCAGTAATCAAAATATACAATAGTTTGTTTCATTTCTCCACCAAAGTAGAGTTACACATCTCAAGTTCCCTTTAACAAAAAAGTAAAATGCAATGAAAAATAGCTAAAAATTCGCAAAATAGAAAAAACTTTAAACCTTCCAAGTTCCTGCGTCATTCTCTTTGGGATAAAAAAAAGAAAATTTTCATTCATGTGATTTTGCACTCAAATTTCCTCTTTCCTTTGCCATGAAGTCAAAAGTGACGTCATCTCCAATAAGCAAAAAGGGCGCCCAGTATTTGATGTCGCAGAACTCGTCTGATTCTCTGAGGCTTTTCATGGCCAGGTTCAGTGACTCGCTTGCAGGTTTACCTTCTGCAAGGTGTTGATAAAAGCATTTCATGAACTGGAGAGTAGCCTCGTCATCAATCGCCCACAGGGACACCACAACAGACCGAGCTCCAGCCCCCATAAAAGCACGGGCGATGCCAACCACACCTTCAGCCTTGATCTCGCCCCGACCACTGTGGCAGCAACTAAGCACAACAAGTTTGGTACGAAGTTGAATATTCAACACATCTCCAATTGTTAAAATGTAATCATTCTCCGTTGGCACAGAAGATATTCGATGTGGGTCAGGTGTAAGAGCAATTTCGCCAGTTTCCATACATCCGTGTGCCGCAAAGTGAACTAAGGAAACAGAACTGAGTCTTTTCAACACCTCACGCTTCGTGGCCTGTCTGCCAGTGATTGGCTCGATATTCAGAATTTTTCCGATCATTTCTACCTCTTCTTTAGCATACGGAAGCTGCTCGAGGAGTTTTTCTCCCTTGCTGTCGGTAACCTCGGCTACCCACGGATTTCCTACAAGTAACGCACCACTGCTTTTGTGATAATCATCTGGGCAATCGGCAATGAGTCTAAGACTTGTTAACGATGGAGCGAGTCGGATTCTGAACGATTCACACATGTATTTAGAATTACCATCCTTCAATGCAGCATAAGGAGTGAGCCACAGGGGTCCATCGGGAATAATGACTAGCTCATCCCCTTGAACCAGGTCAGCCACCGGCTTCATAACGATATCATACAAAGTGCTCAAGCATTCGTTTTGTTGGATGGGAGGTTGAGGGTTGACTTCTTTAGTTTTCTCATCCACTTTTGAACGGCTCTCCCTCAAAACATCCAAAGATTGATTCTCGCATCTCACATCAGAACGAACACCAAGTTGCGTGTAGATACTGAGCATGAACGACTCAAAGAACTGGCTCGCTCCACTATTCTCTGAAACAAAACTATTGAGTTTACTTTGTCTCAACTGAACTGGTTTTCCTTCGGACACAACCCAAAGATTGACGTCAGCTTTGTCCACTGCCTGAAACACAGTGTCTGATGGAACGTTCTTTAAAACTGCCAAATCTTCATCGCCTCTCTTGTGCTGACTTGTTCCACCACAAAAACTAGATTCCATAAGGTCGGTCAGAGCTTGAGCTCGTCCTTTCTCAGCAGCAAGTAGGGCTTCATTCACATTACCTTGTTTTACGAGAACTCTCCACAAACCCGTATACGCCATTTGATACTGATTTCGAAAATTAACTTTCCACTCATCTTTAGATTTTAGGAGTACTCTTAAGGAATTGTATAAGTTTATGCTAGCTTGGTAATGTTCAACGGCTTTTGGCAGTCCACCCTGTAACTCAAAAACGCATCCTAATAAACAGTAGGCCATTGCCTCCAAGGATTTGTCTTCGACCTCTTTAGCAATTTTAAGCGCTAGGTTGTATGACTCGTTAGCCTTTATGAAACCTCCCACAGTTTGATACATGTTACCAATATTACCATAGGCTTTACCCTCCCCATGTTTGTCTCCTACTTCTTTAGCTATTTTAAGATCTAGGTTGTGGTACTCTATGGCTTTTTTGAAATCACCCAGACGGTGATAAGCATTGCCAAGATTGCTATGAGCACCACCCACTCCATGCTTGTCTCCTACTTCCTTAGCTATTTTAAGATGTAGGTTGTGGTACTTTATGGCTTTTTTGAAGTCACCCAGACTGTGATAAGCATTGCCAAGACATCCATAAGTGTTACCCTCCCCATACTTATATTCTACTTCTTTAGCTATTTTAAGATGTAGGTTGTGGTACTCTATGGCTTTTTTGAAATCACCTAGACTGTCATAAGCATTGCCAAGATTGCCATAAGCGTAACCCTCCCCCTGTTTGTCTCTTACTTCTTTAGCTATTTTAAGATGTAGGTTGTGGTACTCTATGGCTTTTTTGAAATCACCCAGACGTTCATAAGCAATGCCAAGATTGCCATAAGCGTTACCCTCCCCATGCTTGTGTCCTACTTCTTTAGCTATTCTAAGATGTAGGTTGTGGTACTCTATGGCTTTTTTGAAATCACCCAGACTGTCATAAGCAATGCCAAGATTGCCATAAGCACCACCCTCCCCATGCTTGTGTCCTACTTCTTTAGCTATTTTAAGATGTAGGTTGTGGTACTCTATGGCTTTTTTGAAATCACCCAGACGTTCATAAGCAATGCCAAGATTGCCATAAGCGTTACCCTCCCCATGCTTGTGTCCTACTTCTTTAGCTATTCTAAGATGTAGGTTGTGGTACTCTATGGCTTTTTTGAAATCACCCAGACTGTCATAAGCAATGCCAAGATTGCCATAAGCGTTACCCTCCCCATGCTTGTCTCCTACTTCTTCAGTTATTTTAAGATGTAGGTTGTGGTACTCTATGGCTTTTTTCAAATCACCCAGACTGTGATAAGCATTGCCAAGATTGCCACAAGCGCTACCCTCCCCATGCTTGTCTCCTACTTCTTTAGCTATTTTAAGATGTAGGTTGTGGTACTCTATGGCTTTTTTTAAATCACCCAGACGGCGATAAGCAATGCCAAGATTGCCATAAGCACTACCCTCCCCATGCTTGTCTCCTACTTCTTCAGTTATTTTAAGATGTAGGTTGTGGTACTCTATGGCTTTTTTTAAATCACCCAAACTGTGGTAAACATTGCCAAGATTGCCATAAGCACCACCCTCCCCATGCTTGTCTCCTACTTCTTTAGTTATTTTAAGATCTAGGTTGTGGTACTTTATGGCTTTTTTCAAATCACCCAGACTGTGATAAGCATTGCCAAGATTGGCACAAGCGCTACTCTCCCCATGTTTGTCTCCTACTTCTTTAGCTATTTTAAGATGTAGGTTGTGGTACTCTATGGCTTTTTTGCAATCGCCCAGATGGCGATAAGTATTGCCTAGATTGCCACAAGCGCTACCCTCCCCATGCTTGTGTCCTACTTCTTTAGCTATTTTAAGATGTAGGTTGTGGTACTCTATGGCTTTTTTTAAATCACCCAGACTGCGATAAACAATGCCAAGATTGCCATAAGTTTTACCCTCCCAATGCTTGTCTCCTACTTCTTTAGCTATTTCAAGATGTAGGTTGTAGTACTCTATGGCTTTTTGTAAATCACCCAGACTGCGATAAACAATGCCAAGATTGCCATAAGTTTTACCCTCCCTATGCTTGTCTCCTACTTCTTTAGCTATTTTAAGATGTAGGTTGTAGTACTCTATGGCTTTTTTGAAGTCACCCAGACTGTGATAAGCATTGCCGAGATTGCCATAAGCATTACCCTCCCCATGCTTGTCTCCTACTTCTTTAGCTGTTTTAAGACATAGATTGAGGTACTCTATGGCTTCTTCTCCCCGATTGTAGAAGTCTATGACTTTCTTGACATCACCTGAACTTGCACCACCATGGTCATGACTAATAGGATCTTTCTCCATGGACTTATCTCCTACTTCTCTGACTGACTGAAGTCTCAATGACGACAAGATCCTATTGTTTTTGTCAATCTTTTTTATGTTGAGGGTTAAAAATGTGGAAAAAACAAAAAATTATTATTTTTCTGATCATATTGGTATGTAATAGTCCATAGAGTTGTGTGCTTGGTTGCCAAGCCTCGGAGCAAGAATGATGGCCAAGGGTGACCTTGTTATGATAAAAATATTGCTGCTTTTCAAATGCAAATTACTTTGTTATTATCGTCACTAGATACTGGTCTCTATCACAACAAGGTCACCTTCAGTCTCACTCCTAATCAAGGGCTTGGAAACTACTTACACAACTATAAAATGGTGTATTAGGTGGGCTTGCGTCAAAGGTAGATGTTTTATTAGCATTCAGTCTTAAAGTCAGTTACGGAGTAAATCTACATTTTTTTTCTGTGTGCAGCCTCAAAATCCAACGCGAAATATTTAGATTTAATCCCTTGTTTCCAAAAACTGGGAAGCACCAGCTCAATTTTTAAATCAATATAGCCTTAACATCAGACGAATATTTTACAGTAGTGGAAGAAACAAGTCTACAACACAAATACGTGCCTTTATAAGTTGATTTGTCGATAGGAAAACATGACGAAAGCTTCCGAGTCTCTTAGTAGTGGAAATAGGTCGAAGGCAAGAAAATCTGCATAATATATGTAAACATTACCGAGCTTTTTGTTCGGACTCGTTATAGAGAGATCATCTACCCACGTACCATTTATAAACTGGGTGAATATTAGTCTTTTAACCCTTCAACTCCCATGAGTGACCAAGAAATAATTTCTCCTTATGATAGCAATACAATATCAATCAGATAAGTGTTGTTGAGGATAATTAGTTGATCCAATACTGAATTCTCTGAACTAACATTACAAGATCTGTATGGTTGACAGAAAGGATAATTGCAAATTTGATCTGGGAATTAAAGGGTTAACTAAACTAATCTACCAGTTATGGCTTGGAGAGTATTATAAACTAAGTCAAATTGGCTAAAAGGAACAATGTCATCAATAAGTCATGAAATAATAACTTTCCCCACGTTTCTTAATCACACACACTTAAAGTATGAGCTGACAAGTTCCCATCATAAATAATACCCTTATTTGTATTTTCTCCCTTAAAACGTCAAATTATGGAAATTATTTCCATTATACCCATAGTTAAAAATGAAAGAAATTTCCTTCAAAGGATACAGCTAATCCCTTATCACACCAAGTGATTGCTTCTTCAAATCTCCTCAGTTCAACACAGGCAGTGGCTCCTGTAGGCAACAACACATAGAAGCATATTATCACTGTAGCTCAATTCTAAGAAAAGAACCTGAAACCACTGAAAGTTAAATCTTTACAGACCAGAAGAAAAACAAAAAAGAATAAAATAAAAAAACTTAATGGAAAAGAAAACCAGGCCCTATTAGGTTTCAGTTAGATTTATTTAGCTTTGGACAACTGAAACTTCTAAGAACATTAAATTGGGACCGACAATTCCCAAAAAATCACTAAGACATAATTATAAATAGAATATAAGACATGCAATTTAAATACGGAAAAATGAGACCCATTTTTTAAAGTTTTATAATGGTACATCTTTTAGTGGATCTTTGAAGAACTACGTTAATTATATTAATACTAGTTTCCCTTTAGTTTGAGTTAACATATATGATTTACTCAATTAGTTGATAATTGATTTCTTAATAAGGAAACGACTCAAACTAGGGTTTGAAGTTCACCAAGAATAAGATTTACTCATGCTGTCTATTTAGTTACGTTGTTATTACTTGTATTATTAATAGCACTTGAAGTTGAGTTATACTCAACGAATGAGGACAGTTTTCTTACAGTTTTGAGTTAAGAACTACTTCTTACTTCTTTTTAAAACAGTTACATAATGACTAAACATATCTGACACTTAACTACCTCACTCGTTGAGCTTAAGGAACTAAAATATTCATGCTGAAATTTTGCTTTGCATTCCGCATTGAGTTCTTCATCCAGCTCACAATAATATTATCATCGTAATTAATGGAAAGTAATGGCACAGCAGTCAAGAGCTGAATTCAAATATACATCAGAGTGGTCTCGACCTCTTAATTAAAGTCAATTGAGACAAGATTTAACTTCATTTAACCTTAGGATGTGGAGTTCTTTATTATTTTCATTTAATTATTGCACGGCTAACACATCTAACCTCTCACAATTGCCTTAAGGAAAGTTGGATTTAACTCAATGGCTGCTTCTGCATCCCTTAGTGAATCTTGATGATTTCCTGTAATTAAAAATAAATATCTCTGATTAGCCATACATGTAGCAAGCCCACTACCACTCCATTGCAATAATTTTGGGAAAAACTTGTGATCCTCATTGATATCTGGGGTACGAGGTTACTTCTTTGTATACTTGAGAGGCCAAGATGAGATGTATATTTTTCCGGGCATGCATTCAAAATTATCATCTTTTTCAGAAAACTACTACAGACAGCATAATAGCTTCAAAAGAGTAAAAAAATGCATTTTAAAGCTCTCATCATCTTACCAAGTTTAGAATGTGCAATAGCCCTGTTGTTGTACAGTTTAGCCTTCAGTACTTTCTCATTGCAGTTCAATTTAATTCCTTCAGTGTAAAAATAAATAGCATTGATGAAATCTCCTTTCTTGAAGGCCTCATTACCCTCATTCCTACAAACATCAGCTGTGGCTGCAAAGAAAAAAATAAAACATAATTTGTGTCAAAGTCTGTGGTTGTAGTTAATAACTATAAGTGTATAAGCAGAGCTGCCAAGATCTGGAGATTTAAAATCTGCGCATTTTTCCTTTTGCACCTGCTTGACTTGACCCATCCCCTGAAAAGCTTAGATGATGTAGGCAGTCCCCCCCTCCTCCTTCACGGGAGAGACCCCAATCAGTAAGTTCATGAGAGATTTTTTTGGTTGAAAGCTCAACCAAGCAGACTCAGTTGCTGTTGTGATTGTTGTTTAGAAGAAAGTGTAATTCCTATTTTGAAACAATCAAGAAAATTAAGATAAGAACCCTGAAGATTAACCAAAGGCCAGATAACAGATGTGGGAAATCTGGAGTTCTAATGTGATGTTTCTGGGTGGAACTGACCTTCTCTGACTGAACTGAGTCTCATTCTGTGTCTGTGAGACCCCCTGATAATCAGAGAGAGTCACTATAATTATAGGATAGACTAGAAGAGTCTATTGCTTTTAATACATTTAGAAAGCTGGTTAATGGGTCAATAAGATCCAAATGTTGCAATCATAAAAACCAGAAGCAATATTACTAATAGACAAACAGTTATTATATAAATGATGAGAATAATGACAAAGAAAATGAGATTAATAGTTATGATGATGCTGATAAGGTGGGTGACAACAGTGGCAATATATATATATCAATGATGAAAATTAAGTATCACTCAATTTGAAGCAACCCTTGGGCATTTAAACTTTTGGAGATAGGTTTCCTAAAATTCTTATTCCCTTGGGAAAATTAATAATGTGTTCAAATTCCCCACACAATTTTCATTTAAAAAGCAAAACAATTAGCAATTTGACTTTCAACTAATTGACTAGGCTTTAAAAGTGAAAGTGCACCATCTACCTTAAACACCTCCATGTTCAATTTTTCATTCTACTGGAGATTAGTTGTGACACTTTTTGTTCGAATTCCCTAACTCACACTTTTTGTTCGAATTCCCTGACTGACGTCAGGCAAGGTTCAAATCCCCCCTCTCTCCCCCTCCCTCCCTTTGGATTGGATAATGATGAAAAGCCTGTGGGTTGCTTGAAGAGAAGGGACGGGATGTTGAAGCTTTCAAAGTGATTGTTGCATCATAATGGAAAGATGATGACAATGATGATATACTCATGCAAAATTACGCAATGGATGTTATATTATCGATGATCAAATATGGTCTTTACTTATTATAACTTTGTAAACTTGCTTTGAACTTTGAGAAAGAAAATAACAAAGGTTTCTGTGTCATAGATCTTCTCAATGAACAGCATATTGTAATCAGAGAAGAGAGTCATAACTGGCCAAATCTCCTTTAAAGTGGTCGTACAGTGTATTTATCCTTCTCCACAGCTGCTTACATTCTTGAAACTGATGGAATAGAACTTATTCTAACAATAACTGAAGCTGAAGTTGACAGCTCACCTCGTAAAGTGTCCTCGTCAAAACCTGGTGCATTTTCTTTGTCAGGTAAGTCTTCATTTTCACATGGAACTTTAATTGAACTTCTTTCTGTAGCCATAGAAACTGTAAGAAGATGCTTATTACAAAGTTGCTGTTTTAAGTTATCCTGGCGTGAAAAAAAAATGGTTGAAATTGTAATACATGTCAGCTCAACATATTACCTAATTGCAAAATAAATATTTTTTCCCTTCTAGAGAATGGGAGGGATACATAGAATTAAAATTACAAGTCAATTAATATTAATAGCATACATGTACAAACAATTAAAGCAGCAAAAGAACAAAAGATGCTTATACAGAAGAACTTCTCATTATGATAAATTTTAAGATTTATGAAATGCATCCTCAATTGACTGAGATAAACTGGTTGAACATCAACAGCTGTCTGTTGCACGTTCATACAATTTGTAAACAGCAGCAATGTAGATTATGTCAACTAAGAGGTAGTGGGTAGTTAGGTAAAGTCTGTATGTGACCAGTGGCCCGTCCATGGCGTGAACTTCAATTAATAATGGTAATAGGACCGAGTGGAGTCCAATTTGGTGTGCAGTCATATGAGTATTTCCAGTAACAAAATCGGACGATAGCGAAGCAGGAGCCCGATTTGTCAATCACTCGTATGATTACAGACCGAATTGGACGACACGAATTCCTGTTACCAATTAATCATAACCATTACAAGTTCCGAAACAAAAAGACGTTTAGGACAAACATCTTTTTCAAATTTGGAAATTTCCAAGTTTTTTTTCAGGGTAAGTGGTCGTTGCTAGTTTGGTTATGTGATCAATTGTTTGATTGGTGGATTTTGCTGAGTGGACTTAGCATGATTGGCTGCTTCAACTGTCCGATTACTGGTGTCCGTATACAGCCAACTGTCCTATTACAACTGTACAGAGTGATTAATGATGTATAAATCAGCTGATGCACCAATCACAACTGAGGAAATTGTTATGGTTATGATTAATCCTGGTTTCCTCAGATGAAGCAACTAGGTACTACCCACGTACCCCCTGGACAGGATGTCAGTCCATCCCACGCCGGTTACTCCCCAACTCTCCTCCCCCCCCCCCTCTGGCATTTTATCAGGCTTCCCTGACTAATTTCTGGTATCCATTTACACTCCTAGGTGGAGAGGGGCACTGTGAGAAACAAGTGTTGTACAAGAACAAAACACATAACCAGGCCAGGTCACAAATGCAGACCTCATGACCCTGAGTCCACCTCACTAATCATAAGGCCACCATATCTCCACAAGAGGGGAGAGTTTATATTGGATCCTTTCTCATAAGAAACAAATTTTACAAAACCGAAGAAAAAGAAAAAGTCTCTTATCTGATTTTTAAATAGGAACTACTGGTCAAAACTTATAAATGATGTATGTTTTTATTCCATTTCCTAAAGTTGAACTGACGCCCATATTCATAATTCAACTGTTAAACTTATCGCAGGAAATACAGTGAAATATATATATTTATGCATGCTAATGTATGTTGAAATGAATTTCAATACAGTAAAGCTACTGACATTTGTGGTTTACAAGTATATGTGTATTAAACAAATTGTTTTTGCAATCATTTCATGTTTACATTGTTTTGTGCACAAAATTGATTTGTCTTTGATGCTAACTTTAATTCTCCTAATAATCAAGACTGGTTGTCTTTTAAATATCAAATAATCTCTGCTGGTTGTCTATTTGTACAAAAAATTTCAAGAAATGTAGAGCAACAAGGAAATCAGTTGTTTTAGAATTCAGAATAGCCTGAGATACATGTACAGGGTAGATCATTTTTGCGAAAGCCAGTAGTAACTCCTTACTAAGCAGTCGAGCACGAGGCTTTACTGAGGAATATTGGCCCAAGGTTGCGGCAGTATAGAAATGACATAGTGCTAATATTCCTCCCTCAGCAAGGTAATGGTCATGCACTAATGTCACTTGCACTAAACTAGTTTATTTTGAATTTTCTGGCTTTTAAGTGAAAACATAGGCATGCGTAGCATGCAAGAGTTTTTTTTTTTTTGACTGGGCGGGTTGAGATGGGACACTTTGTGTACCTAATGTTTTCATTTCTGTAACAGAAAAAGAGCATAACTTTATAAAAGGACAAAAATATTGCATTACTTCACTTTAAGAGAAAGAGAAAAAACCTAATTTATCTGACCTCACACAGGTATCTTGTGGTCTATTGTCTCTATTGCCTAAAATTCTTCCAAGCAAAAATAAAATGGATCAGTGCCACGCTTATTGTTGTCTCCTTCGCAGCAGTTGTTTGGTCTCGTCACACAACACCATCTATTCCCCGACGGAGAGAGAGCGCGTAGCGTGATGAGACCAAATAATAGTTGCAAAAGAGACCACACTTACTGCCGTTCCTCTAACAGAGTGAAAATCAAAATTATTTGTCTACAGTTAGATGTCTAAAACATATAATTCCATGTAATTTTACTACGAAAAGCAAACTGAAACTTTCTTGTATCTCCAATAGACTCAACCAAAGATTTATTGCGATTTCTAATTAGTGAAGATACATTTCGCAAGAGAAAAGGATAATATTTGAGAGAGGGCTCCTTTATTGGTTGTTGCAGGTTGTTTACAAGGAATATACATGCGATTGGATTAAGTCCAAGGTAGTTAAAAGCCGATTTTATTCGTATACAAAATTGAAAACGCGGGAGAATTACGTGAAAAGTTCATTATCAGTAGCATTTAGTGTGAAGTTTTTTTCAGTGGGGTTGGACAATGCGGTCAGAATACGTGATCATGCTGGTTGTTTACAAGGAAATGAAACGTGATGGAGCGAAGTCTAATTTAGCAAAATGGAATTTGATTGGTGAAATAAAATTCAAACACGTGAAAAATTGCCTAATGTTTAAGTAGTGCAATGATTGGGTATGTTCTGATTGGTACGTTTCCATGGTACGTGATGGAATGTAAGTTGTCACACACGAATTACCCGAGAATTCATGAAATATCTCTTCTAAAATTTGTAATCAGTAAACTAGGTCAGGGAAGCAAAAGAAAAAGAAATATACATGTCCCAAAAGTCTGCACACCACCTCCCCCACTGCCTCCCTCTATTTGCTTTTCTGATGGTAATTTCGTTTCTAAAAAAAAACGCTTATTGATCAGTACTAATTCACTCTATTTGAGACGACAAGGTAATTTTTCATTATCAGAAATCTGAGACATCGATCATACTTGACCTCTCCAGGCCTTTAAACATGGCGGAGAAACAATTGTTAAGAAATGTGTGGGATAAAAAATGGATATCAGGATCACTGATCTATAGGTGAGGATGTAAATCTTCCACTGCTCATAAGAGAAAGAAAACATCTTTGTCATAATAAAAATTTTGTTCCGTGAGTTATTTTTAAAAGTTACGTCCGGACAAATTTTGAAACAAAATTTTACCTAAAGCACACTCAAACCGTCTCAAAAAGTCTAAAATTTAGTCAAATATTACTTGGGAAAAGCTCAATTTTGGACATCAAACCTTGAATGAATTTACCTTCCACCACTCTCAGCAGTATTACTCGTTAATTTATGTAGGACGAAAAAGAGCAAAGAAGACGATCATTTATTCTAAAATCTATCTGCGAGTTGGATTTCAGCTCATTTCATTTTCCACAGGTGCGCTGATAAATATTCAATTGCGCTGTTGACTTAATTAAACCTACATTTTTCCAAAAGAAGTCAAATAATGTGTTAAAGAATTCGTATGTTGATTCGTCTCCTTAAATTTTTCACTGACTAAAAATACCTGGCAAGTTTTATATTATTTAATAAGCAAGGAGCGGTTGAAAACATCTTCCCCTCGAAACTTTGTGACAACAAGGTCCTCTTTCAATTTCCATAATGCGAACAGGATAACACGTAGCCGGTAATTTACATTCAAAATCCAAAGGACAAAGGCGTTAGATTATCTGGTAACACTCCGTTTCCCGGTTCCAACTAAATATTCTTGTAGAAAAAAAAAGAGAAAGCAGGGACATAGCACTTTACAACGATATCATATTCATAACTTGTTTTTGTTTGCGATCATATGGTCTCGTGTGTTGTTGCCGGCTCACTTTGCTGAAAGAGCTATATGAAAACAAGACCTATCATGCCTCATACCGGATTGTCTTTATTTTACAATGTAATAAGTTTTTCTTATTTAATTCAAATTCGCAATGTTACTGATGGAACATTGCGAGTGGGTGAGAGAAAAATCCGCTTAGTTTTATAAATTATTTCAGAGCTTACCTTAAAACCACGTTTCGTCAGCCACGAAGCGTTGATTTAGTCCTTAATAACCTGTTCAATTCGTAAAATTTTTCAAGATCGAAGATATTTTGATGAATTCCTCAGAAGATGACTTAACACGAACGGTGTCGAGAGGGTACTCTTTTCATTCCTCTGAAATTTAGCTCGCGATAACTTAGAAGCAACGCTTCGAGCTGGGGATGGTGAGCGTAAAAAAATTTCTCGCTGCCACCAAAGATGTTCACTCGACCGCGACAGGATGCAAGTGACTCACTTTTTGTTTCACGACCATACTGATATTTTAACCATTGCGTGACATTCTCAGGAAAACCAAAAGTTGATGATACATTGTGAACTTTCCTGAGGAAATGAGTCATAAATAGTGAATAATACCCGGGCGCACGTAGATGTAAATTTGATTGGTGGAATACAATTCAAGCACATAAAAAATTGCCCAATATTCGTGAAGTGCAATGATTGGCTATGTTCTAATGGACTTTGGACGTTGTTTTTATGGTACGTGATGGAACGTGAGTTGTTAGGCGTGTTCGTTGTGCGTGAAGGAGCCGTAAACACACGTTTGACTTTAAAATGATACAAAAATGAAATCCGAAACTTTCATGTCCCGATAAATCTCGACCTTAATCAACGAGGCTCAATCAAATGAGCCCAAAATTTCTGGTTAATGTCATTCTTTGTGCACAGCCCCCTGATCCATGACATCATTTATAAGAACATAGGTATGCGTAGCATGAGCGGGTTGAGATGGAACACTTAGTGTACCTAATGTTTTCATTTTTGTAACAGAAAAAGAGC